TTAGTATTCATTGCATCAAACTCTATATTCTAACTCAATCCTATTAAAATATTATTTTTTTATTGTATTTTTTATTCTTTCTTTTTTTTATTAAATTGATGAGGTGCCACTCAAACAATTCTTAAAAAATGCAAAAAAAAAAAAAAAAAAAAAAACCAAAAAAATTGCTGGTTGACCAGCCAGTCAACTGGTTAGGCTAATTTTGGACATTTTTCTTCTTCTGCTACAGGCACTCACGGAACATCCAGGTGGACATTTGAGATAACGTCCAAGGGATGTTCGGTGGGTGAGAAAATATAATAAAAAATATATTAACTTGTCTCAAAAAAATAATAAAATATTAAATAACTAACGAATAATACCTCAACAAATTTGTTGAGGTACTATAGCAAATTCAACAAAAAGTTCATTTAGCAAAAATTTGTTAAGGCTAATGGAGAAAGAATTTTCTGATTTACTAGCTCTATTTTACCTTTTTGCAATTTTGCCTCAGCTGATGCGGGTGCTCTAAAGTGCCATGATTAGTTTTTTCATCCAAACTAATAGAAGGTGTATCACACAAACCATTTTTAGAGTGGGTTTGGTTTTCTCAAAAAATAAAGTGAAACTAATACAACAAAAAGACAAATTTAGCCCTAGTTTCTTCAAAACTATAACTAGATTAATATGTTAATTAAATTAAAATATAATTAAATATTGATCTAAAATATAAAATATAATTAGTGATTAATTTAAAATATAATTAAATAAAAACATAAAGAATTGACTTGAAATATAATTAAATTAAAAGTAGATTAACATGTTAGGAATTACAATAAATAATTAAGAAATTAGGAGTAATTGTTATCTAAAATATAATTAAATTAAAATTAGAAATTATAATAAATAATTAAATAGTTAGGATTACTTGTGATATAAAATATAATTAAATTAAAATTAGAATAAAAAGTTAAGAATTTAATAAATAATTAATTGTGATTTTATTAAATTAATATTAAATATTTTAAATTATGTGTATGAGAGAGGAGAAAGAGAAATAACCAAAAAAAAGAAAGAAAGGGATTTGAGAGTATTACAATCATTTCGCATCTATAGTTAACGGTATTAACAGTTACACTTTAGTCCAAAATTATATAGAGATTTTCTGACTATATTTATTTTTCAAACCACAATTGGTAAAATGATTTTTGCCACAAAATAAATTTAAATAGGACTTGTTGATAATTATCTCTTTTAATTGATTGATTTCATGAAATTTGTTATGGGCTTTCAGGCTACTGCCCCAACCATCACATTCTGCACAAATCTAAGGCCCACCCAATGGCCCCAAAATATATCTTGCTAGTCGCATTCCACAACGTGGGCCCTCCAGTGCCTCTTCGAAACTATCTTAAAAGGGTCCATTGGCCCAAGAAAGCCTTCCTCGTTAATGACTCTACAAAATTCTTCTAAACAGGCCCACTAAGTCATAAAACTGTTTTACATTCCATGTCATTATTAAAAATAGAATAAATGGCCCCTTCAGTAACCCTACAAAAATTTTATTTTTTATTTTTGGAAGCACTCCACAAAAATTATTATTTTTTATTTTTGGAAGCACTCCACAAAAATTATTTTTGAAAGGCCCCCCCAGTAGAAATATATCTGCTTTTCATGGCTTTTAAGGAAAAAAAAAGGAGATTGCTGTTGTGCCTTGTCTGTTGTGAGGCTTGTTAGGGTTTATTTTAATAATTTGAATTGTTTAAAATTTATTAAATGAATATTTGTAACCTCATAACAAAATCACATTTGTTTGTACAAAAATTAAACGACTAAATATATTTTTTATATTTTTTTAATAATATCTAATTATCAACTTTGGCGGTCACCTCTGTCACCCCTTCAGGCACTATGTTGCTTAACTAGCTTGAGATGCATATTCTGACACACTGTTTGAGATGCTTTGTATACTTTGATGTTTTATTTTTCTTATCTTTTTTTCAAAAAAATAAAAAAAAACAAAACAGCAAGATGAGGGGCAACCATTTGTAAGTGTCTATGACACAACTAGTTCAACTAATTAGTGATCATATCACTCTTTTGAAAATGATACACTACCTTTCTAAAAATCTACTAATAGAGATTAGGAGTTAAGAGTGATTCTAGTGAAGAGTTTAATATTCAAACATTTGTACAAGATTATATAACTAAAATTGCTAAGTGGTTTTGATTTTATGTATATGTGATCTTTACAATAATTCTCATTAAATTGTATGTTTACATTTTTATAAGAAGCAATGTTACACTAATCATCTGTTTTAACCATTTATATTTATTATTTAACGGGATACACTTGTTATCATTGATACAATAAGTTTTACCTACATATATCACTAGAGAAAAATTCGTTGTTGTGCAATGCACACCAAAACAATCCTATAATAAAATTATATAAATTTTCATAAATTTACATAAATGATATTAAAAAAATTGTATAAATTAAACATAAATTTGTGGTATGATTGTATATGCCGAAACATTTCCCATCACATTATTTTGATATATATGTATATATTATATTTAATTCAACTTATGGTACTTTATGATCCGTCACATTATTTGATTATAAGTTTTGTTTTCCATTTAAAAAAAAAAATCAATTTCCATATGACTAATTTGTCACTTATAGGATAAGAGATATTCCACTAGCTGCATATGTGATTTGACACTGAAAAAATTATATCCAAAGGGACATTGATGCTGGAGCACAAAATGAGAAGATATTCTTACGGAGAAATGAAAAAGAAAGAAATTTTAGTTGCGTTTGGTAGAACTTAATATGATTTGTAAGTAGGAGTTGTATTTTAAGTTTGTGAGTTTTGAAATTATGATTTAAGTGTGAAAAATTTGTTTGGTGAAAGAATTTTGAAAATAGTTTTGAATTGAGTGGATAATTTTTGATGTGACATATGATATTTGATATAAAAACTTACAATTTACAACTTATAACTAAACACACAACTCAAAATTCTATTAAAACTTATAAATTTTTTAAAAAAATTTGGAAAAGATTTTTTTCAAATATACAAAAATTAACATGTGTGAATTGAAAATTTTTTTTAAAAAATAAAATAATTTTGTATTGTTCCAATCAACCGGCCGGACGTCCGGTGGGACGACCGGTTAGCCCAAATTTTCTCGCCACCAAGTTTTCAAAATTGAACATGGAATTAACTTTTGAAAATTGAAAACAAATGTCATGTGCAAAATAAACTCTAGAACTAACGTTTCAGAGCTGTACCAAACATAACCTTAAATTTGAATAATTCTTTGTTTGGATTAATAAACTTTTAAGGTTAAATTACAAGGATTTTCATTTAGGTTTGAAGAAAAAATGTAGTGAGTCACTTAATTTTAATATAATTACATTGATCTCCCATTTTAAACAAAATTCTTAATAAATTAAATATATTTACTAATTTACCCCCACCAATTAATGTCAATTGACAAAACAAAAAAAAAAAGAAAAAAAAGAAAAAAAAAAGGAGAAGAAACTCTCCATCCACCCAAGCCTACTACAAAAAAAGAAGAGAAGAAACTCTCCATCCACCCAAGCCTACTACAACGCCTCACTATCCCAATTTGCAACCACCACCACAAACCCCAATATGCAACCACACTATCCCAATTTGCAACCACCACCACAAACCCCAATATGCAACCACCGCTTATTTTGCTTTACGTCATCGCTCTCACTTTCGCATCATACCCCTCTAATATGCAACTATTGGTACAATCGCAATTTGAAACAACCTCATCACCATTTTCAGGCTTTGTTTGGCAAGAGTTTTTGTGGCTATTTTAATTACAAAAGACAAAATAGATTATTTTAATCATAACAAACAAAATATCACATATAATCCATAATGATTACACTATTCTCTCACAAAAAAAGTCAAAAAGCCAAAAATTCTTCCCAAACTAAACTTTTTAGCCTAGGCTAAAATAGCCAAAAAAGTCAAAAAGCCAAAAAAACAACTCACTTCCAAACGGAGGCTCACTTTTCTATCTCTGTTTGTATTTGGTACAAATTTAGCTTATAATTTATTAGGTTGAAAAATCTTAAATAAGATAAAAAAACATAATTTATTTAGAAATTGAGTGATAATTGCTTTTGATTTTAACTTTCTAATTATTAATTTTTAACTTATAAAAGGTTGTTTCAAACAAACCCATAGACCTTGTTTAATAGGCCCAATTTAAGGCAACTTATTTCAGATAGGGTAAATTACACTTACACCCCTGAGGTTTGGATTTAATACAGTTCACCTCCTAACGTTTGGAAAATTACATTAATCCCCTTGTCATTGTAATTATTTAGACGGAATGAAGACATTAAACTCATGCACTCTCTCTTTTTTTGTTTTGTTTTACTTTCTTATTTTTTTCCCTTTCCTTTATCTTTTTTTTAAATTTAATTTCCTCTGTTTTTTTACTAGGAGTTGTTACTTTTTATATAAGTAGGAGGGTTTGTGAAATGAAACTATAAACCACATGGGTGGAATGTAATTTTCAAAATGTCAGGAGGTGGGTAGTAATTGGACCAAACCTCAAGGGGTGTCAATGTAATTTACCCTTTGAGATATTTATAAACTTTTATTCTTTATTTAAAGAATTTGTATCAAAGGCAACTTATTTGAGATGCTTTATAATTTATAAATTTTTTAGTTTAAGAATTTGTATCAAAGTTGATGCAACTTTGGTTCATAGTTTATAAAAATAATAATGAGTTTCTGATTTTTTTTTTTCCTTAACCAAACTAATTTTCTAAATTCTAATTCATAATTATTAATTTTAAATTGGATAAATCGAACACACCCATGGCCCATTGGGCCATAGTCTCTATCTTGTGGATAGGAGTAATATTTTTCCCTCGTTTTAGTTTCGATTTAAATTTCAAAACAACACGGTACACAGCCAACTATACATGCATAAATCTTGAGATACAAGTTCTATCTCTCTCTCTCTCTCTCTCTCTCTCTCTCTCTCTCTCTCTCTATTTTTTTTCTCTCTCCAAAAATTTAGGTTTATCTTTTGACAATTGATGACAGCGAAACAATCGCTGCATTTATATACATCTGTCTATAAAGATCAGAATTGATGATATGCTCTTTGTTTGAGTGTGGATTTCTAGGGTTTATGAGCCAATCGATCAGAGCCATGGGTTGTTTCTTTGGCTGCTTCCGAATCAGAGACGATCGTCGCCACCCCCAGACTCATCTTGTCTCAGAACCACTCCCTTCGAAGCTCAGAGTACTCCTCTCTCTCTTTCTCTCTCTCTCTCTCTCTCTCTCTCTCTCTGTGTGTGTGTGTGTGTGTGTTAAAATTCTCTGTTTTCTTGTTCTGAATTGTGAGTTTTTTTGTTCGTTTTTCTGTTTCTAAATCAGGAACCTGTTGTATCTCGGAATCCTCTGTCATCTCTACTACTCGCTGATGGTAATTTGTTTTTATTGTATGTTGATTTAATGTATCTAATTCGATTCTCTAAGATCTTGTTTCATTCCAAATAATTGTAGTATATATTGAGTTTTTTCAGCTTTAAATGGATAATTTCATCATTTGGGGAGAAATTTTTGATTTTTAATGTGTTTATATGTTATATTATATGTATATGAAATAGTCATTTATTTCCTGAATTCTAACTAGTATTTATTTTTATTTTTAATTTTGTTTATTGTTAATTTGAAGATAAAGGTGGATTGCCATGTAAGGATAAGAAAAATCCTGCCTTGAGGACTCCAGATCATGGCAACAACAACAGGGAGCTCAAGGATGAGGTGTGTGTTATTATTTGCTATCGTTATTTTTTAAAGTAGTAGTTTGAGGAGGTATGATCAGGTACCTAGGGGACACATCTATTCTATATTAAAAGCACACAACTCAGAAAGAAAAATTTTGTCATGCCTTTTTGATTTTCCAAAAATACCACTGAAATTGTTAACTACAAATTCCATATCAAATTACTGCTCTAAACTGTTTTCAAATTCAGCCCATTTTCATCATCAGTTATTAAACCAGCCAAAACCACCAAAAAATTAGACCTACACTTGCAAATGCTGTGTTTGCACCCACTGCTAGTATTTGATATGTAAGGCCATCTCCATGCTTATGTTCACTGGCTCTTGGTATGCTATTACCTGGGTTTTGGCTCGCCCTATTCCTCATATATGTATATAGGTGATGAGGTTTGAACAGTGGGCTTCCTGTTTTGGTTGTGTATATATATTGTGTGAATACTTGCCTGCTCTTAGACTTGGCTTGGAACTTTTTGTTTTGTTTTGGAGCATTGTATATATTGAGACATGCAGTCTCTTTTGATTTGTATTTCTTAAATTATAGATGTTATCATTTGTATTTGTGCCATAAGTTGGTAAATTTAATGTATGAAAGTTCATTTCACATGAGTTAAGCACTTGTTTTGATGGGTTTATTGTATTAGGAATTTGAGATTGTACACGTTTTATATCAGTATACTTCTGCTAAATAAATTTCATATATTTCCAAAGGCACCTTTCACTTGATATAGGTATGCCTTGGTAGCTCGTAGAGTCGTAGCTATCAGCCGATCACGCCTTAATTTGTCTAGGGTAGGGTTTGGGTCGTGACACATTTACAGTCATATGCAGCTCCACATCAACATTTGTGGACAAGTTGAAGCTTTGACTTAGGTTCTTCAAGGTACACACCAAGCTTGCAATCCTCGAGGATCTCTGTAGTAAAGGATCACTTGATAGATTGTGAAGTGCCGAAGGAATCCACAGGTCAGCTATGATTGGGGCTTTCCATCCATAGGATACTCTAGTGGGAGAATCTGTGTAATCAGGAATGACATTGTGTGTTTTAGCATTTCTATTCTAGTGAACTCCTATGAAACCTTCACCTTAGAGGCAAAGGTAGGTAAAGTATCAGGATGACAGTTGTTACAGCAAGGAGCATGCTCTACTCTGATGGAATCTAATCCATCCATCAATTTCTATCCATTTAATTTTAAAACTAGTAGTTACTATGTGGGACTGGTTTTGATTTGAAATATCTTGTAATCCTATGACCTTTTATTTAAAAAAAGGTAATAATCAATGTACAACGCTCTCGCTCACAGTAGGGTCTGGGAGAGGTAGTAATAATAGGCAACCTTTCTGCCACCTTTTTGTAAAGAGACACAAACCTTTGTGACAAGGCTGGAACCAATAGCATTTGTCATCACTCTTGGGCATGACCTAAATCCTATTCACTTTATTTGGTTTCAGTTTTCAGAATTCATTTTCATAAAATTCTACCTTTTCATTTTCCGTACACTGAATTTTTTTAATATTTTAAGCAATTTTTTTAATTTTTAGACACACCTAACATAAAAACACTTAAAAAGTATAATATTTGTGAAAAAAATCTATAAAAAATTCATTAATTACCAAAAATACAAAAAAATACGAAAATTCAATGCATTTTTCATATTTTTGTGTATTTGTTAATTTTTAAAATATTTTTTTCACAAATATTTTATTATTTAGATAGATACATCTAAGTAAGGTGCACCTAAAAAAGTAAAAAAATTGCTTAAAATTTTAAAAATATTCACTAAAAATAAAAAAAATACGAAAAACAAAAAACTCAATTTTTAGAAAACTGAATTCAAAAAATTGAAACCAAACACTCTGATTAGCTTTGCTTCTTTTTATTTTTTCATCCTTGGTATATTTCAATTGATGATTATTTGTATTGCTTGTTTTCTCTCTCTCTCTCTCTCTCTCTATATATATATATATATTATTTATAAATTTGGAGAATACTAGACACTCTTGAAATTATTTCAATTGATGATTATTTGTTTTGCTTGTTCTCTCTCTCTCTCTCTCTCTCTATATATATATATATATATACATATTATAAATTTGGAGAATACTAGACACTCTTGAAATTTATTAAAGTGTAATGTTTTAAATTCTACATTTTTTGTGTTGGAATCAATCATCTAACTCTTTGTTAGAATAGTAATTTGTTTTATGTTATTTTACAATGAAGGTACTATTGTCATATTCTACTGTTCTAAAATACTTGTCACTTGCCCATTTCCTTGAAGCTTGGGGTTGTATTTTGCTAGAAGATTGCAAACTAGAGTCAAGGTGGTATTCTCCTATGCTATGTTTGGAAGGAGAGAGAGTTGGTTTGACTAGAGAAAATAATGAAGACAGAGAGAAGGAAGGAAAGAAGAAATAAAATAGATACTTTCTCTTTCTTGGCTGGAAAAAAAAGTGAAGAGAGTTAAGACATAATATTTTTTGATTGTTTTAAGCGGTTGTGCATCGTGGTTGGTTTATTCTTTATTGTGCTTCAACTTTGCCTTTATATCTCCCTTATTTATTGTGGGAAGAGGAAAATTTAAAAATTTTTCTCCCCTATTTTTTTTCTTCTTTTCTCTCCTTCTTCATCAACTAAATAAGAGAAAAGGGTTTTAAAAATTTGTACTTCTTTTCTTTACTTTCCTCTAAAAAATAGCATTATTTAAGTATTGGGTGGTGCCTTTGAGTTTTGCTACTACTGCTAGATTTTTGATAGTCATTTAAACTTTAGCTTATTAGGCCTTGGATTTTTTTTTTTCTTCACACTAAAATTGTGGTGTGGAGCATAAGAATCATTTCCATTTTCTTTCATCAGAATGTGGGTCACTTCGTTGGATCACAATTTACTTTTATTTTAAATTCTTTAACATCAGTTATTCATTGATCGGATTAATTATATTCTGCAGGCCAGATTTCTCAAAGCCTGTGGAACCTTACTTGAAACTCCACCAGAACTTCGAGAAGGTTCTGGAAAATTTACAGATTTATCTTGCGATGGAGATTCGGAACCTTCAAAGTTCCATTCTTGGCTACCTAACACATCCATAGAGAAACTTAAGTTGGAGAAGCAACCTGATCAACCTCCGACTCCTATCAATCTTTCCGAAAAATGGGTAAAGGGATTGGATTCTTTGGAGCAAACACCCAGCAGGTTAGGCTCCTAATCTTTGTGGCTTTTAAGTCGTTAACCAATTAAGATGTTTCATTTTTTTTTCAAACTCAGTATGCTGTTACATGAGAATAGAGACCTGTCATTTACTATTAAATTCACTTACAAGGCTCAAATGCCATTAACTCAGCAAACTGATTTTGGCCATTTAACTTGCTGCTATTTCTTCTTGAAGTCGTTGAAGAAAATAGGTTCTGCCTTTTATAAACCAGTAGAATTATTGGCATGAGGTGCCTGCTCTCATCCTCAATTTCCCGTTGATATGCTTCGCAGTGAGTTTGTTATCAGTGTATCTAGCATTGTCTTCTTCTTCCATGGAAGAAAATGTTTTTCAATATATATGGTTTTTCTTCCCCACTTACGAACATAGTTTCTTTTTTGCTGAAATAGTACTGCTATCTGACAATTATCCATATTCATGTCTTTTGATAGCTGTACATTTAACGGGCAGAATGCTGGATCCATCTCTTGCAGCTCTACTCAAGATGGTGGGGTTGGAAGTGTTACTAATCAGATCAGTAGCACCGCAACTTCTTCAGTTACACCTGGGGCTTTTGCTGCAAATGTGCAGTGCAGAACCAAATCTGTTCGTTTTGAATGTGAGGATGATGTGATTTCGTTTTCATCAAGAAGTTCATCTGAAATTGCTAGCCAAAATTTAAAGCAACCACAATCAGCTGGTAATAACAGTGCATCAAAGCTTTCACCTTACCCAACCCCATTAAAACTCACCGATGAGATGCAAACACCTGGGACTGTTTTCCCAGGGTATCTAGAAAATATGGCAAATACTAAGAATCCTCGGATCAGGTCTCAGTATGTGTACTCAGTCCAGAATCCTATTGAGAATTTATCTGAGTGGAAGGTATTGAAGGAAGAAGATTCGAATACCCATCAGCAGTCAGATCATGTGAGAGAAACTTCAGTTGAGAAAGAATTCAAGGTAGAAGGGAGCTTGTCGTCTTGGCTGAAACCGCCATCAACCAATCAAGATGGAAAGAATCAAAGTTCTGGTTCCATTTCAATTGGAAAAGCTCATCTGCACAGAACCCCTGGGGATAGGCCGATCATTGGAATGGTGGCTGCTCACTGGAATGAAGATGAACCTACTCGTATTTCACCCAAGAATTGGGATGGAAATGGAATTCCAAATTCTACCAACAAATATAAAGAGGTATTTCTTAGTTCTATCTGCATTTGTTTCTTGGTATGCATGCACAAAAACTGCAATATATATTGATGGCTGTTTTTGATGTACTATTTACAGGATCAGAAGGTTAGTTGGCATGCTACACCTTTTGAGGAGAGACTAGAGAAGGCATTGTCTAATGAGACTTCTGTCTCTCAGAGGTATGTCATGCCATACTCTCTTTCTAGGGTTCTATAGAAACTTAAAAGTGTCATATTACTCCCCATTCTTTGACTGTCTCTCCTGAAAGACAACCCTAAACCCCAAGCATGTTTGAGAGGTGTGTTGGGCAGGTGTCAATGCAGATTGAACCCAAAATGGCAGTTGGTCAGCAAAGTGCATACTTGCTGTTATGTTTATCACTAAGCAATGTCAGGCATAATTAATTTGTCAGGATGAATTTTTTTTTCTGGAGATCTTCGTCGGATATGACAGTTTTAATGTTAAAGAGTTTTAAGTTACTGATTTCTGGAAAAAAACCCACTGAAAATAAATAATTCAATGAATGACCTGGAAGGGTAGGAAGCACTCATTTTTTACGAGCATTTTGCCAGCTATCCGTCTAAAAAATGTAATGATTTCCACATTCTATGTTGTTGAATGAAACTACTATATATAGGGTTTTTATACTTGAGCCTTTTAATGCATTTGGCCTTTCATGTTAACAATTTAATTATTTAATCACTGTTGTGAGCAGAATCATAAAATTTGAACTGAAGTGAGTTTTCAACGCACTTAGCCAATAGGGATGGCAATTTGAACCCGGCCCGACGGGGACCCGACTCCCCGATCCCGATTTGAGCGGTTTTTCCCTGAAAAATATTCCCAACAGGACGGGGATGGTATTTAAAATTCAATCCCCGATCAGTTTCAGGCTGGGGATGGGGATATGTGTCCCAGCCCCGTACCCGGCCCGTCCCCGTCCCCGTCCCCGTCCCTGTCCCCGCTAGTCCCCGAAATGAATTTACCATTTTACCCCTATATATATATATATAAAAACCAAACCCTCTCACACTCACACTCACTACCACGTCTTTCATCTCCCTCCCTCTCATTCTCTGTGTCCCTCTCCCTCTCACTCACCACAGCGTCTCTCATCTCCCTCCCTCTCACTCTCCGTGTCCCTCTCCCTTTCCCTCTTACTTTCCCTCTCCCTCACTCACTCACTCACTTTGATTTCTCTCTCATTCTCTCATTTCTCGTTATTGTCATCATCATCGTCCAGATACACGGTGATTTCTCTCTTTCTCTCAATCCTCGTTATCATCATGATCATCCAGATCCACCACCGTGAAGCCACCGATCTGAACCGTGAAGCCACCGATCTAACAGATTGTGGTCCGTGAACCGTCAAGCCAAGCCACTGATCTGTGCATCTCTTTTCCTGTCTCTCTCTATATATATGTGTGTGTGTGTGTGTGTGTGATAGTGGTCTTCCTTGCCATTGTTCCCCGTATTTGGTTCTGGAAATAATAATCTATATATAGATTTGTGTGTGTTCTAGATCTGTTGTCCATATATATACAGATTAATTTTTTTTAGATCTATTGTTGTATGGGTGTGTGTGTTCTAGATCTGTTGTAGATTGTTGTCCATATACATATATATATATATTTTTTTTGTTGAACAAATTTGTGTGTGTGTGTGTTGAACAGATCAGTGTGTGTGTTGTGAATAAGTCTGTCGGGGATTTTTCGGGGTCGGGAAAACCCGATCCCCGTTAGGGGACCGGGGCGGGGGAGGAGATGCCTTCCCCGTCGGGGATCGGGGCCGGGGACGGGGATTTTTTAACCTTCGGGGATCGGGGATGGGGAGTGTTATCTCCGGCCCCGGCCCGGGCCGTTGCCATTCCTATTAGCCATTCGCATATCTATCATTCTAGCGATAAACGTGTGTGGAGTTATAATGTTTATTTGCACAAAAAAGTCAAATAATACTGTTAAAGAAGTTTCAAATATAGCATTGAGACAATTTGAAGCACAAACTAAGCTGAATGTTGCAAAGCGTCTATGTTTGCCCCCTTCATGCCTGGCTGTCCTCCCTTATACTAGCATTCGTTTAAACTATTGAAGTTTGATTTGACATGTACAAGTTCTGACCATATTATTATCATTATTATTATTTATAGGAAGCCTATCAATGGGACACCACCAATTGCTTTTGAGGAAACTGAGGAAAGTGATACTGCTCTATCCCAGCTGCAATCTTCAACCCACGCGAAGCCTGTAGTCTCATTTTGATGAATGTTTGAAGCATTGTTGCCTTGTTTGTCATGAGTTGTTGCTTTGTCGTCAGTGAACATGAATTGTTGGGAATTTTACATTTGAAGTTTTGCATCATGAACTACTATGATCGACTTGGTTTGCAAGTATTCCTTGAATAGTGGAGCAAAGTACAGAATTTGTGCTTCTGTTGATGTATTCTGTCAGCAGCGCTATGGAACTACTTGGGATGTACATAATCAAAACTTTGATCAAATGGCTATCATTTCTTTTGATTATTATTATTATTATTATTATTAGTATTTATATGTTGGCCAGTCACCCTTGTGGTGAGGCTGACAATATGCGTACCCCCTCAATGCTTTATAAGCTTTGTTTCGTCACAAGTTTCTTTTTTTGAGTCGAAGGTCATCATTTGCTTGCATGCGTTTGTCTTATCGGATTAGCTATTTAATGAATTGTGTGGTAATAATACAAGTGAGCGGTCTCACCAATACAAAAAATTTGGAGTTGTTTTTAGTGTGGGTAAAGAGTGAGTTCCACCCCTTGATTGAGAACTTTTGAGATTTCATTGCCTTGTTTATATAGATCCTGATGCCATGGTCGACCACGAATATTGTGGTTGACCATACTACAGAGTTTTTGTGAATGAGATTCCAGAAACTGTTACTGTGATTGGCCATTACAGGTTGGAAATCAAAGCCATTTAGCATGGTCAATCATCCTACGAATTGGTCACTCTCAGTTTCAACGGCATGGGAAAGGGCTGGGGTGGGTGGGAGGGCTAGGGGTGGCAGGAGAGGGTTGGGGATGGGCTGTTGGAGTCCCTGGTGGTAGTGGTTAAAGGTGAAGGTCATGGCTGGGACAGTATAGGATTAGAGTTAGGTTTTGAAAGATTAAGAATAGGGATAGGTTTGGACTTCTACATTATAAAATTGTAATAAATAACATTAAAAGGTAGGATGTCTAAACAAAACAAAGTGGGGGCTAATAGTAACATCCATATGACAATGTTGAGTGTTTTTACATTTATTTATTATTTTTTCACCAAATTAGTTTTTAGTGTTTTTCTCCTTTCAATGAATTGGGAAAATGTCATTTTTAAAAATTATTTTTGCCCTCCCAAAAGATAAAACAATATAAAGATGTCGAGTTTTTGATTTTTTTGATTTTTTAGAAAATTTTTCCGAAACAAGTTTATGAAAACCAAACCAAACCTGGCCAGTATTTCCAAGAAAATTGCTGAAAAGTTGAGAGAGAATAGAAAGCAAAATTGCCAATCCAACACACACAAGTAGGCTTTTATCATGGTTCCAGTTGTTCCCTTTACAGCTTCACAAACCGGAGAAGAAAGCTTCTCTGAAATCAAGAAGAAAAATGAAAAGGAACTCAAAATCTGTCAAAACGACGTCGTTTTGACAGATTTGAGCCATTTGAGCCACAAAAATTTGAGCTACCTAGCATTGTCGAAAGCAAAATTGCCAATCCAACACACAAAAGTAGGCTTTTATCATGGTTCCAGTTGTTCCCTTTACAGCTTCACAAACCGGAGAAGAAAGCTTCTCTGAAATCAAGAAGAAAAATGAAAAGGAATAGGATCAAAACAGAAGATATTAGCTTACAAAGCCTAATTCTTCATGATAGTACCTTGTTGCAATAATAGCAATTTTAATATTGATCCTTTCAACTGTACAATTAAAAAAAAACCCCCCTCAGAGTGACTAATACTCAGCTTCTGAAGGCTGCTTCCTATGGAGATTTTCTCGTCAAAAAATTCCAAGCCAGCAAAGCTGCCCCTATTGCAGGCTCCACCTGATTGATTTTATCAACAAGCCACACAAAAGTTTTAAGTACTTTCAATCTAGCAGGTAACTGTCCGTGCCAATGATAGTATTTCAAGAATCAAACTAGCTAACAAATAGACTGTATTTTGACATATATGATAATTTTTTGTTGTAATATTTTCGCACATGAAACCTTTTGTTGCCAAGAAAATCCTAAGCATTAAGTTTATCAAATTATCCAGCAAATAAACAGCGATATATTTGAAAACTATGGCATCATAGCCTCTATAAAACAAAGCCATAGATATCTGTCCTTCATAGTTACTGAATCAAGGCATTTACCAACCACTGGATCAATGATAAGATAAGAGAGTGTGAGAGTACATACATATATTGGCAAATGAACAATTAGGGAACTCCAAACTTACTGATAAATTTTACTCTAATTAACTTGGATAAATATCAATGTACTTGGATAAAATAGAGATAGACGAAAGTGGCCGCCGGCTGGTTGTAAAATTGTAATAAACGAAACATATTAAGGAGACGTGAACTCCAAATCTAGTAAACCATTCCATTGCATAGCGAATTCATTACTTTGGACATGATTTATGTTGTTTATTTACACAAAAGGATTCAAGTAACCTAGTTCTGGAGAAATGGCGGGACTTGGGAGGAAAGGGAAGCTGGTTGTAAAACAATAGTGTGCGTAGGTAAGAAGAAAAATGAGAATGGAATATACACATTCTTATTGTTTAAGGGAGTAGGGGTAGTTTGGTCATTGAATAAAGATAGTCACATGCACTTCAGGGGTAATTTTATTCACACACCACACTTTATCTCAGTATACACTATTTGTGCCGTTCGGATATCAACTTCCAAACAAAATCAAAATATCCAAATATCAACTTTTGAACAAAAATTAATTGTCATCAAGACGTAAAATATAACTAATATTGCTATACCCTATTATTTCATCTATGCAATTCAATAAATTGGATATGCATATAATACTAGAATTAGGAGCTGAAATGCCTAGTTTCCATATAAATCTAGGATTAAATGCATATCAACACTCAATACCCCATGCTCTAACGCAATTTCACATTTGCTATTACTGTGGCAGTTATCTGGAGTTGTGTTTCATTACTTTGTCATTGCTTGTATTATATGCACTTCGATGTTTGCAGCCACACTTAAGTGACATTAGATACAAGCAAGAATGCCAAAAAAGCTATAGTATTATGATAATAATGGAAAATAGTCAGATCACATAATTTGTACTCGAAATTGACCAGAACATGCTTACCCTTGGACGAATTGGAAGAGCTCCAGGGAAATCATTGACAATAGAATTTATGACTTCTTTCCCTGACCCTATATCCCACCTCTTATTGGCTTCAAGAACACCCCCAACCATTACAAGAGGAAAAGAATTCTTTCCATCTGCAATGAATTTCGAAAAAACATATATACCAGTGAGGTCCCAAAGAAAATTCAGAACTACCCAGGGAATGCATTTATTAAATATATATATTTAAAAATATGTTATCCTAATGACAATGATCAAACTTTTGCAGTCAGCTTGGAAACGGAAATATTTCAGATTCATTTCAAAAAATGAGTGAAGCGGTAAAAAACTATGGAATCACACAAAAATGTTTGAAAACATAACTAAAAATGTGTGGATATGTGACCCTGTTTCTAAGCTACAACTCGTTTTTTACAATTACCTTCTAGTAGTAGTAATAATTGCATAGAAACACTCTATTTGGCAAAGAGTAAAGCTCTTAACATATATGCTCATACAACTGGAGGGAGAAAATAATGTACAACAAGTTTTCTTTAATTTCAGTTTAATACCACACCTTCACCACTTAAGCCGAGTCTTTGAACAACGGCTTTCACACTTGAAGCCAACTCTTGAACTGCATCAAGCAAGATCTTATTTGCAACTTGATCACCTGCCTCTGCACAAGATACCACTACTGGAACGAGAGCAGCAATTCGAGCCCATGATGGATCTGCGTAGGTCCACCTAATTTCAGATGATTGAAACATTTGTAAACCATCATTTTGCCAGTACATCTGTAATATTCATTTTAATCAACGTATCATGTGAACCACAATAGTAACCATGCAAAAGGAGATGGTCTTAAGATATTGAATTCTTGTCATTACAAAATCTAAAAAATTATCTACAAAAGCAAAAAGTTTTGAAGTAAAATCGTTTCATAAGAGCACATATGACATAGCACAGCTCCATACATAAATTTGGAGGTGTTTAAAGGTAGAATAGAGAGAACCAAAAGAATGAAATGGAATACATATTAATTTATTAAAAATAGATGAAAGATACATCCTAATACATTCAGAGTTTCAATAAGGTCTCTTAAATGTATCATAATAACAACTAATCACTAACTTTCGCTGATAAAAAAAAAAAAAAAAAAGTTGTCATAATTTACAAGCACTACTTAAAGGCTTCAAACATACTGAATGCATTAGTCACACTATCTTATATGGAGATTAATAAGGAAGAAGAATCTAATCCCTTTGTGTCTGTTCAACTACATTGGGCTTAGTCCCTGCATCTTCTGTTTGATATTCATCTGCTTACCTGTTCTATTAGTGGTTGATTTTTCTTTGCCTTTCATCTCCACCTGATTTTGTTCTTTCCTTATGTGTTGTATGTTCATCATCTTTATCATTGCTGTTTATCATCACCATTTATAGAAGTTATCATGAGACAATAGAGAGAGAGCAAGAGAGGTCATGATCAAGCAGCAGGTATTCATTCTCTAGGTTGATGAGGCGTCAAGAGAAGAATTCATTCGAATTACGGAAAGGAATTCAGACTATAGTTACTCTTTAACAGCATATTTGGGTAGTATCCTTGCGCATTTTGTTGCTCATGATGCGCTTTTCTGAAAGCATCGGAGCAGTAACTCAATGTCATGGGATCAGAAACACTGCAATAAAAGAGGAGTTTTTCTTGAATTTTCAAAATGGATAGGTAACAAAAAGAGAGCAAATATTATACCAGAAGGCAAGGGAGGTTTCAAAGGATGGATGGAAATGACAAGACTCTTAGATTAGGTATTTTCTGGGGACAAAAAAGGTTAATAGCCAATGTGATATGATAATTGAAGGCAGAGATGGAGTAGCTAATTGAGCAAGTGCTGAAAACAGAGACAAACAGGGGTGAGAAGTATGTTGATCATTTCAAGCCTTAATAGGGTAGATGGGATGCCTTATGACAGTGATTGTGCAGTTTTTGTCAAAGGAAGCATTTGCATGATTCGAGGAGCAGAATTCAATGGCCAATGGGTAGAATGTTTGAACATAAATTTACATGTCATCCTTGCCAATTAAACAAGGTTGTGATTTTCTGTAATAGTAAAAAGCAAGCTTGTAATGTCCTGTAAACTTTCATCACTACTCATGGATTGCCTTCTTTTTCACATGGGAATACAATGATTCACTTAGCTGTCAAATTACTGAAAGACACATTTTGAACTATGTATATTGAGGCAGTCTGTAAAAATGACTTGGCCGACAATAAGTTTGCAGCAGTACAATTATTAACTACAAGCAAATATGTAATGCTTATGGTGATCACAAGTTTTACGATGAATACCCAATGAGTTCATCCGGGGATGAGAGTTCAAGTGACTGTAAAATACCACGTGTAAGCATTGTAAGTGGGCCACGACCATCATGAGCCCTTACTACTGCAGTCAATGCTTGTGCAGCAACTCCATATCCACTACAGATAAACAGGATAACAAGTTCTCAAGATCACTAAAAGTAGCCACACAAGAGAGAGAGAGAGAGAGAGAGAATCATTTGCAAATTTAAAAAATAATAAATCCTTCCTTGCATAAGTGCATGAGTAATGCAATCAAGAACATCTAACAAAATAAATCAACAGTTCTCTATATAAATCTTTTCCATATGATTGATTGATCTGTCTTTAGGGTCAGCTCTCTAGAGAAACTACAGAAAAAAAATAATCAAAAAATATGTTCATCAATTGAAGTTCAATAGAAAGGGGACCACTCGTTCAGCAATTGAAGTTCAATAGAGGTTCTGAGTTCGAATCAAATCTCAAATCTATATATGTATCTACTCAGTCAAGGTATAGTGGGTATATATATACACCCCATCATGTTTCTATATACCCTGGGGCAAAAAGGTTTAAAACTTCAAGTGTTTTTTTTTTTTGGACTTATCACCAATAACTGCCACAAGATCTTACCTTCTCCATGTCAAAAAATTAAATTTAAATTTGAAACCCATAATTTGAAGGATATCATTTAGTTTAGAAGTGCAGAGATGCTCATAAAGCATTTATTTTAAAACCAAATTGAGTACTTGGCATTAATGATTTTTTGTTTTTGTTTTTATTGATTAGGGCAAGTTTAACACAGATTGCTATTCTTTGATTCACTGGATTTAGAACCGAAAATTATAGAAAACCAAAACCAAAGTTGAAATAAGGCCAGTCAGGTTCTATATATACATAGAATCAAATTAGAACCAAACCAATTACACTACCAGATTTATCTCACACTTACACATGCAATCAGTAAACCTTGTAATCTTAATCATTTAAGAATGCGATTGCTGAAAATGCAGATTGCAATAGGGACAAGGAAAATACTATACAAACTAACAAATCTAAAAACTTTTCTTACTAACTGATGTTTCATGCAATAAATAAACTTTGAAATCTGAACAGGAACCCTCTTCAACAATGTGATAGGTTCATCAGCAAGTAAGAAAAACTTGTAAATTTGTTAATTTGTATAGCATTACTCTGGGAATAAATAGTTGGAAAAAATTTGGCATTTCTTAATTGCTTAGGTCACCAAAAGCTTTTTCCTGTGTTCTCCAAAATATTATGAAAGCAATTTTAGAGAGAGTGATAACAGTAACAACTACTAAGAACACACCTTCCCCAATCACCTAAGATGGGCCCTGCACCAGCAGCCCGAGCTTCTCTGCCATCTTCTGTGAAACCATACGCTATGGTCCCTGTACCAGCAATTAAAACACATCCATGAAGCTTTCCCATTGTCCCACTTGCCAGAGCTGCCACAGCATCATTCTGAACATATAGTCTAACATGGCTTGGAAAAATTTCTCTGATCATATAAAATAAAAAGAATTTAGAACCAAAAGCTAAATTGATACATATGCATCTGCAAACCAGATATGCAGAAGAGGCTAACAATACTGTTAGAATTTACCATCACCTACCACACACTTACCATCACCTACCACCATCACCTACCACACACTTACCATCACCTACCACACACTCACCTACTACACTCACCTACCACCACCTAACCTACATCTATATAATCAATCAATTGTAACAGAATCAAAGATATATACATCAATCAATAATACAATTCTCTATTTCTCTTTATACATTAAATTTTCTACATGGTATCAGAGCAAGGTTAAGCACTTAGTATTTTTCGCTTCACCGGCGGGCGGCAACCTCGCCTTGGCCGCCCGCCGGACCTCAACCTAGTCCGCTAAAATTTTTTACACATACCTTGCTTGATCACAAACCTCTCTCACCTTCGGCCACATTTCCGACTGCAACTCCGGCACCTCCTACTTCAAATCCAGCACCACCGACGCCTCCCGCACCGTCGCCTACGCCTCCCGCACCGTCGCCTACGCCAGCTGTTCCACCTGCTCTGGTTCCGGCGCCGGCTCCAAGCAAGACGCCGATATCTCCGGCGCTGTCTCCGCTACTGAGTCCCCCGAATTGTCCACAACTTTAAGATTGGTCCTCATCTGTATGAAAGTCCTGCATTGCTGAAACAAGAACTCACTGCATGACATCTCATGTGGCGTTCCCTGTACACCAAGATTGTTGCCAACGCCTCCCAACAATGAACGGGCAGCACGCAATGATTTGGAAGGGAAAGCTGCAGCCATCTTTGCACTTAATTGCTGTGCCAATAAAACCAACAGTCCCCAATTTGCCAAAGATAGAAGCTTTGAGAGAGAGACAAACAGACCTTGAATCCTCCTCCTCAGTCTGCGATGACAGCAGTGGCGGTACAGCAGAGAAACCCTGAAACCCCTGCGTACTTGGAAGAGAGAGTGGCTGACTCTGCAAGTTGGGGAAGAACTTCTGATCCAGCAGAGAGGGTTCAACAGCGAAAGTTCATCTCTTTCTCTGCAGAGATTTTCGATTCCGAAACCGACAAAAAGTGCGGGACTTGGGTTGATTCTTTTTAACTTTTCTTTTCTTTTTTTTTTCCAAAGTTTTTTGATCTGCCCAAGACGTCTTTACCACCTCTCTCTCTCTCTCTCTCATCCTTTTTGTTTTTTTGAAAACACACTTTTTTTTCTCTCCACCGCATCTACTTTCTCCCTTAATGTCTTATTATTCTTATTATTCTTATTTTTATTATTCTTACAAAAAAAAAAAAAGGCACCGCCCATGACAGCAATCATGCTGTTCTTATCTCCTTTCACTTTCTTTATTTATTTGTTTTTTTAACAGCACCTTTTGCCCACACCATTTCACACTTTTCTTTTATTTTTTCTATATTACCATCATGCACCCTACAATCAACACCATGTGCTGGTTCCACCCACTTTCCTTTTATTATTATTATTATTATTATTATTATTATTATTATTATTATTATTATTATTATTATTATTATTATTATTATTATTATTCTTATTACGCTGCTAAGCCAGTACCATATCAGTGGGTCCAGCAGTGTGCAATGTCCTTTTTCATTCACCTTACCTCAAACCCATCCTTTTTCAAAAAGTTAAGAAAGCTTCAGCAAGTGAAAAACAGAAAGAAACAAAATAAAAAAGAAAAACAAACAAAATAGTTATGTACTACACAAGATGTAATATAGATAGGACAATAGACATAGTAGCTATAGCGATCCCGGGTTTACCCTTGTTGTACAGAGATCCGGACATGTGTCCGTGGATGTTGAAAGTTGTTTATTATCTTGTTTGCATCCTTCTTTACTTTGTATATTGAGTTATACGATGTGTTGGGCAGGTTTGTTTCAGGTTGGTTGTGTTTGGGAGCCTAGTGTTGCTGCCCAGATTTCTGGACCTTCGCTCGAGCGAGGAGTGGGTCGCTCGAGCGAGATTCGAGTTTGTGTCTGGTGGGTCGAGCCAGAGTGGCTTCGCTCGAGCGAGTGTTTGCACCTGGTTCTGGACCTGAGAGTTGTGTTTCTTGGTTCGAGCGAGCTTTTCTTGGCTCGAGCGGTCTGGTTTGTTCTTCGCTCGAGCGAGGAGTTGGTCGCTCGAGCGTGCTTCTGGTTGCAGACCTGAGGGTTTGAGTTGTTGGCTCGAGCGAGCATTCTTTGGCTCGAGCGCACTTCTGAGTTTCTGGCTCGAGCGAGAGTTCCTTGGCTCGAGCAAGAGTTTCTGTGTCTGGTCGCTCGAGCGACCAAGTCTTCGCTCGAGCGAGAGTGTTTTATATCAGCGGACAGTAGCGATTTTAAACATCACTTTTTCACTTTATCTTTCTTTCAAACCTTTGATCCGAGACTCTCTCTCTCTCTACACTTATATTCTCTCTAAGAATTGATCTTCCTAGAGTGTGAATCTATCCTAGAGCCTTTGTTAAAAAGATAAAGGGTGTTGAGAGCTTTGTTTTAATCTGAAAAAGTTTGGATTTGGAGCACGTTGGTCTTCGAGTCTTCATCTCCTTTTTGGCTCAAACTTCGAGGTAGGGATATCCTACTCCTCTCTATGGATTTTGTCTTTATCAATAATACAATTCTCTATTTCTCTTTATACATTAAATTTTCTACAAATACTTCAACATCACAGACACAAGATGTAATTAAAAGCCGAAGTAACAGGATATATAAAAAACAGAACTTGTCAGCTATGTAGTATACAAATAAGTATAACCATATTAGAATTTATGGAACATTCTGCTACATTAATTTAACATAGCAATGGCCATAAAAAGGGTTAAGCAAGTGACCTCCTCCAGCCTGCTTTGTAGGGATGAGATTATATGCCAATAAAAAATCTAGGGCGGGGATGGTATTTTGACGTCACCCCACATCAGGTTTGGCACAGCAGGGGATTGAATGGCGCACTCAATCACACTGCAAACCTCTACCAAAAACTTGGTTATATAATCTTGGACTTTATCTCGGTGTGTTATTCAAGTTTAATCTTTGACCTTGAAGTATTTTATAGAAGTGTTTAGTATGAGGAACACTATAAAATATGTATAATATATAGGTGTGGATAACTCTCTCTCTTTTGTTTTTTTGGTTTTTTTTTTTTTGTTGTGATAGATAATATAGGTGTGGATAACTCTTAATATGGAAAGGAAAACACCCTTTAACCTTAAAAAAGAAAAAGAAAAGAAAGCAGCATTGTTATAAATCATGAACATGATGTAATTTTGCAAATTCACACTAAAGCATGAGTTCCCTGACTTTCCCGCATCAACATCTACATAGAAACAGATGTGTCATCTGTCACAAACAGCCAACCCAGGAGCACCAAAAGTGTATGACAAGGAAGAAATTGAGTGCAATAAAAAATTGGACACATTTTAACAATTCAATAGAAAAACTGCAAAATGGGTTCTTAGAGAGCACACCTTAGCCAACTTAATATTCTTTGCTGATCTGTTGGATGGTTAACACCGGATACAGCTAAACAAACAGCTCGAACAGCAAACCGATTTGAACCTGATCTTGAAAGGGCATCTGCCATAACTTGCTCTAGTGTCTCCCTCACAGCAGTTTCTGTAGAATAAAAAGCATTCAGGAAGGGACAAGAGTAGGACTCTTTTTTTTTACAAGTACAGAATTACTCATTTTTTATTAGACCACTTACAATGTTGAAAAATAAGTAACTGCTCTACTTGTTTTTATTAAAAAGTTCATCAAAAGACTATGAGAATAAAACAACTTTGATATCAAACCAAAGTTATCAATATTTCTTGAAGTAAAAACTAACACCTCCAAGAGCCCAAATGTGGCATTCCTAACTTTTTGGTAACCAAACAATTTCACCATGAAACAAGGTACCCATAAGGATTGTAATTGCTTTAGTTAAGTCAATAAAGCCTACTCCTAGCTAATAGAGCCAGCTTCCAATTGTTATATCGAGAGGTTGTGGCTATATGCAAAAGTAAAACGGATGACGAGCATTTATGGCATATCACAGAAGCACACAAAAATGTTCAAACAAAGTTACGCTGCTAAGCCAGTACCATATCAGTGGGCCCAGCAGTGTGCATTGTCCTTTTTCATTCACCTTACCTCAAACCCGTCCTTTTTCAAAAAGTTAAGAAAGCTTCAGCAAGTGAAAAACAGAAAGAAACAAAATAAAAAAGAAAAACAAACAAAATAGTTATGTACTACACAAGATGTAATATAGATAGGACAATAGACATAGTAGCAATGGCATGAATTAGCACCTCAGCGCAACTAAAAAAATTTGACCACCCCAAGACCCACAGAATTGGAAAGAGAGCTTCTTCAATATTTCCAATGCGTTTGCAATATTACATTTAAATTTTTAGATAGTTTAATGATTGAGGAAAACTGATTAGCAATTTTGGGCGGTTTGTTGAATGAGAAAAATCATTCAACAATTAGTGGATTCAACAATTATTGAATGTGATAGTTACTAAATAGAAAGGGCATTCTCGAAAAAGGAAAAAAGTGATAGCGTTCACACCAACTCAAGTGTACACTTTATACAATAGAAAGAATAGATGACTAATATAAATTTATTTATTTTTTACTATTTTTTTCAAACGCTTTAAGTTATTATCATTTTTCAAATTGGTCAAGGTGGGGCCACCCCGAGGGGTGGGCCAACGAACCCTAACAATCCCTTGATCCTGAGCTTGTGTCCTAGGCCCTACTACTTCCTAGACTAGGTGACATTAAGTGATGGTTAAATTGTTCTAGTTAGGTTGCTCATCGTTGGGAATTGAGAGGGACAGGTCGCACTTTGGCAACTGTTCATCATTGGCAAGCAACATTTTGGTGGTTGTTTGTCACTGACAAGTGGGGAAGGTGAGTAGCCTCTTGGTGGGTGGGCCTTAGGCCTATTTTGGGAACATAAAATTTTAGTCAAAAAGTCAAAAAGTCACTACAAAAAAATCAACTATTCTCTCTATTTTTTGCACATCTTTTCGTAAAAATCCAAAAAGCCACTAAAAAATCCAATTCCCAAAACATCCCTTAGTAGGCTTTGGTCTTGGTTCTCTTAGAGGCAACCAACTGGCATGTTGCAATTGGGCCACGCGTTGCCTCTTATGGTGTCCAGGTATTAAGTGGACGTAATGTGGCCTTGCTATGACACTTGTACCTTCATAAGCTTTCTCCTGCACTAACTGTTGTCCAACATCATATCAATCAATGAAGTGAATGCTAGACTAGCATAAATGAATTTAAACCAAAGGCCATAAACAAAACAATGTATAATTTTGAGGCAGATAAATAAATTGAAAATTCAATAAAAGCATATTAAAATGGAAGCCCTTCTCTTCTCACAAATTCGTCAAAATCCAGAGATAGAACAAGGAAAATGTGAATATAACTATTGGATAGCTTGATATACATTGTTGGACCCATTTACTAACTTAAGCTTTTTGGAACATTTGGTAACTTAACATGTTATCAAAGCTTTGGTTAAGAGAGATCTTGGGTTCAAGTCTCTCCATTGGCATTTGATATTTTGTCCCTGTTTGGTTTCTTCTTTTTTGTTTGATTGTTTGCTTCTCCTTTTGTTTGTCTCTCCATGTGCAAGACAAAGTTGCACGTGAGGGAGGATATTGGATGCCTTGATATACATTATTGGACCCATTTTCTAAGTTTTTGGGACAATTGGTGACTTGAAGAAAAGTTATTAAAACGAATAAAAGATTTGTTGGGGGCGACGTGTTTGCCTGTACAATCTCAGATGTGGATAAAGCACTACTGCCATCAGCCAAACGTAAGAAATTGTTTTGTCTGAGGGTGATAATGATTAGGATGAGAGAGGTAGAAATTGCGAGAAAGAGAAAAAATGGAACATTTGATGTGTTTATTTAGTAGCAGAGTGGTGGAAGGTGCAAGAAAGTTAAATTTCTTATACAACTCCTATTAGGGAAACTTGGCTTATAGTTTCTTGCAAAAAAAAATATAGGAAATATTTTTTCTTGTGAAAGTAGACAGCTGTTATCTGACTCCCCAATTTACCCATGATTTCCCACTTCCCTATCTCCTCTTTCCTACCCCCTTCACTATCACCTTACTCGCTTCCCACACCTCCATCATTCACTTTCCTATTCGTTGATTAACATTATTGTTGTGCATTTGTGTTTTGTACACATGTTATTTATTTATTTTTTTGGAACTAAGATGAGTGGTTGGAGAAAGATGACAAGTTGATGAATAATGTTTAATCGAAATTGACATATGGCAAGGGTAATTTACTAACAACAAAAAATTTCTTACAACTTTCTCAAAAAAATTCCTTCTTAATTAACCAAATGCATACAAGAAAACAAATTTTCATTTCACTTTCTATCGCTTTAACTTTCCCATCATATTTTTTACACCAATCAAATGGACCCTATTTTTGATTTCAAAATACAGAACACAAGAGCATGTATTATATTTAGAAAATTCAACTAAATCACAAAATTTAGAAACAATGCCAATTATAGAAAGGAAAATGATAAAACAGTCCACTTTTTAGAGAATATTTAATTATTAACCAATCATTTTTTCACCCATCACTCTATAATGGATGTAACTTTTGGGGCTGAATAGCAATACCTTATAGAAAACCCACAAAGCAGGAAACAGAAAAATGCATGAAATCCCAATAAACTTGAAGAGGGCAACACAAATTGAAGAAGAAGTATTAGAAGAGAAAATACAAACCGCCAACACTGTTGTGGTTGGAGCAACCAGCGATGGAACGGGCAAGAACAGGAATGGGGTCAGGTAGAAGGTCAGTGTAAGGAATCAGAGGCATACATATGCATACAGTGGAGGTGGTCCCACCGTCCAAACCCAGCACCACTTCTCTACTCGCCGCCACCGCCATTTCGTGCTCGAAATCCCATATATCTCCATTTCTGTACCTCTTCTTCATCATTCAAATCAACAATTCACACGATTCAAAACTCTCTCTCTCTCTCTATGTCTGTATATGGTTCTAGTGAAGTCGTGTTCAAAATTGGCAGCGCAGAGAAACAAACAGGTGGAAGTAGTAGGAGTAGACGAATTGAAGAGGAGGTGGTGGTGGGGTTAGAGAGAAACGCGAGAGACAAGTAGAGAGAAACAACAAGTAAATGTTGAAGAGGAAGGGTTGTCAATGCATTTTTCTATATACAAAATTCGGGAGTGTACAATTATAATAATAGTATAGATATGAATATGAATATACAGATATGAATATGAATATACAAAAAAGGAGGATTCTTCATCGTCATCATTTTAGAGAGAGAAAGCGTGGGAACGAGGAGAGAGAGTAAAATAATGGGTTTTGGATTCGGACGGCCAAAACGCCAAACGCTAACTGCTAGTTTCAACTTTGAATTGATGACTCTCCCTTCTTTAAAAAATTGGGTAAATTATAAACCGGACCTTTATTGAAATTATAAATTATTTTCCGTAATTTTAACAGAGACTAGGAACCATACACATGCGGTTGATGTACGTATGTGGCCCTTGCGTCGATCTTACCTCCGCTGCCTGCCCGTACGCGGGTCGACTCACAAGAGATGCAACTAGCTCGCCAATTAACTGTTCATGTTTGAGCTTGTTGGCTTGCTCTTGCTTCATTGTTATTTAGACACTACCCGAATTTACTTACTTGGTAGCCTACGTGAGTATCCGGATGGATAGAGGCTGATCCCTTTCTACATACATAGCCCCACCCCCCAGAACATACTTTTCCTCCTTTCTCCCATAAAGCTTCCTTTCCCGAATCTTAGCTCTTCTCTTTCTTATTTATTCTTACTACTATCACTTTCTAAACCGGGCCGGTAAAATTTAACCTTAACGTATCCAGGTCGTACGCCTGGAACAAGAAGGTTCGTCGTACAATTTCGGCGATTACAAAAAGAAAGGAGTATATCCCTCTCCCTTAGTGTCTTTCCACTTCCGTCGTTCAGGAACAAACACTTCGCCCAATTCTTTTGAATCCCGGCCCGTTTTTCCCCACTAACCAATTACGTTACGACCACTGAACAAACTTGGTTGACGAACA